GATGTAATTTCTCCAGCAGAAGAACTTAATGATGATCTTGAATCCATTAATAATTGGGCAAAACTCTGGAAAATCAATTTTAATCCTCAAAAAACTGTTGCATTAACTGTAACTAAAAAAATAGACAGCATCCATTACTTATATTTGATAATCAGATAATTCATGAAAATAAATCTCATAAACATCTTGGCGTAGCATTTAATACTACTGGTTCTTGGGGTGATCATTTTAAATATATTTATGATAAATCATGTAAAAAATTAAATATTCTACGTAAAACATAAAATTGATAGGAATCTTTAGAATTACTATATCTCTCCTTCTTTGGTCCTACTTTAGAATATGCCTCTTCTGTCTGGGGTAATTGTAATATTGGAGAAGAAAAACTACTGGAATCCGTTCAAATTGAAGCAATGAAAATTATAACTGGTCTTAGTAGTGGTACATCTCATCAAAAATTATACTAGGAAACAGGTTTTGAAAAATTCAAATAACGACGGAATAAGCATAAACTTGTCTTAATGTATAAAATCCTCAACCACTTAACACCTGATCATTTATTTGACATCATTGAACCTTATATTAATATACAAGTCAATCACCATTTACAGACAAATAGATTTTTAACATTCCTCATTCTAGAACTTGTATCTACAACTGTAGTTTCTTTCCTGATGTCATGTGCCTATGGAACAATCTCGATCATTCAATCACTTCTTCTCGGACTATCAATTCTTTCAAAAAGAAAATTAATAAAATTCAAACACCTCCCAGGACCATTTCTGAAGCTTTCATCACCTGTAATCCAAGAAAACGAAATATTGTATTGTGTCAATTACGTAATAATGTTAGCAATTTAAATTTTGATAAATGTAATGATCACTTGATTGTTGATCCATATTGCTCTTGTGGTGCATCTTGTGAAAATGCTGAACATTATTTCTTCTTATGTCCAATTTATATTAACTATAGACATTTCATAACTGACAACACTAATCATTTTGGATATTCATCTGTTGATCTACTTACAACTAGTAATGTTTATCTATCTACTGATGATAATTTATTTATTCTCTCAAAAGTTCAGCAATACATTTCTGCTACTAACAGATTTAATTAAAGTATGACTGTTTTCATTGCCTCTTATATTTATTTTTATGTATATATATCTATATCTTAAATTTTGATAAAGGGCATGTGTGTGTGTGTGTGTGTGTGTGTGTGGGAGGGGGGGGGGGGGGGTGTTTTGTGAATGCTTATTTATTATGTGTATGTGAGGGGGTATGTGTGTTATGGCATGGTTGTAAGTGTATACGAGTGTGTCTCGTTGATCCATGTACTAAATTTATGCTTCTTGTCAATTAATAAATGATAGGAGAAGACTTATGTAGGCTAAGCCTGTTGTCTTATCCAATTGTGCAACTTTTTGTCCAATAAAATTTGTTGAAACTAAAATAAAATACAGTAGAACTTTTTCCTTTTAAAATTTTAATGAATTCTGTACTGTGTTTGGTACAATAACAAATTATTTACAATATTATGGAGTTATCCAAAGTATTAAGAAATACTTGAGGCCTTTTACATCTCCAAGTAGAACATTGACGTTTCCGATTTTTCCTCTTAACTTGAGCTAATCCTAAATAAAATAAAAAGGTTGCAGGTATTCTACCGTTTACTCCTGAGAAACAATATTAACATAACTGCTCAGCAAAAATGGGGGAATATCTTTGACTATAATGAAGAGAAATGGAAAAAAATGTACAGTATTCCTTTTCGATCAACTCAAAATTCTAAACTCCGTTGGCTACAATTTAAGGTTAACCACTATATTCTAACAACTAACTCTTATGCACATAAAATAGGCTTATCAAACAATCCTAATGGTAATTTCTGTAAAAGAGAAAGGGAAACAATCGTACATTTGTTCTGGGAATGTGATGAGGTTCAGAATTTTCTGGCAAGTTTTGAAAGGTTGTTAAAAGCACTAACAATTATATTACCTATTAATAAAGAAACATTGTTATTTGGTTTGGTAAATAACACAGGCATTTACAATCGCATTGATAATGAAGTTCTTCTTATAATCAAATCCTTTATCTACAGAAACAGAACTATACATGGTACTCTCTCTGTTATGGCTCTAGCTAATGTAATAAAAGAAAACTATGTGGTTCAAAAATGTATTTCATATGGTAAAAGTGATCCTTGTCTACAATTTTTAGCTCACCTGGCACGAAGTGCCAAGTGAGCTTATGCCGTGGCGCGGCGTCCGTCGTCCGTCCGTCCGCCCGTCCATCCTCGTCCGTCAACTTTTCCTTTAAACAACTTCTTCTGAAGAACGGACAGGCCTAGAGTCATGATATTTGGCTGAAAGCTTCATTGGTAGGAGCCCTACAAAGGTTGAGAACGAAAATGACCTTGACCTGTTTTCAAGGTCACAGGGGTCAAATATGTCAAAAACTTCAAACGACTTCTTCTAAAGAACTAAAAGGTATAGAATCTTCATATTTGGCTGATGGCTTCCTGGGATAGAGCCCAACAAAGTTTGAGAATGAAAATGACCTTGACCTACTTTCAAGGTCACAGGGGTCAAATGTGTCAAACACTTCAAACGACTTCTTCTGAAGAACTGAAAGGTATAGAATCTTTATATTTGGCTGGTGGCTTCCTGGGATAGAGACCAACAAAGTTTGAGAATGAAAATTAGTTTGACCTACTTTCAAGGTCACAGGGGTCAAATATGTCAAAAACTTCAAACGACTTCTTCTGAAGAATTAAAAGGTATAGAATCTTCATATTTGGCTGATGGCTTCCTTGGATGGAGCCCAACAAAGTTTGAGAATGAAAATTACCTTGACCTTCTTTCAAGGTCACAGGGGTCAAATGTGTCAAACACTTCAAACGACTTCTTCTGAAGAACTGAAAGGTATATAATCTTTATATTTGGCTGGTGGCTTCCTGGGATAGAGCCCAACAAAGTTTGAGAATGAAAACTAGTTTGACCTACTTTCAAGGTCACAGGGGTCATATATGTCAAAAGCTTCAAATGACTTCTTCTGAAGAACTGAAAGGTATAGAATCTTTATTTTTGATTGATGGCTTCCTTGGATAGAGCCCGACAAAGTTTGAGAATGAAAATGACCTTGACCTTCTTTCAAGGTCACAGGAGTCAAATGTGTCAGACACTTCAAACGACTTCTTCTGAAGAACTGAAAGGTATATAATCTCTATATTTGGCTTGTAGCTTCCTAGGAAAGAGCCGAACAAAGTTTGAGAATGAAAATGACCTTGACCTTCTTTTAAGGTCACATGAGGCAGATATGTCAAACACTTTAAACGACTTCTTCTGAAGAACTGGTAGTTATAAAATCTTAATATTTGGCAGGTGGCTTCCTGGGAAAGAGCCAAACAAAGTTTGCGAATGAAAATGACCTTGACCTACTTTCAAGGTCACAGCGTTCAAATATGTCAAACAGTTCAAACAGCTTCTTCTGAAGAATTAAAAGGCATAAAATTATAATATTTGGCTGGTGACTTCCCGGGATAGAGCTCACCAAAGTTTGCAAATGAAAATGACCTCAACCTACTTTAGAGGTCACAGAGGTCAACAACATTTTAATGGATTTGTTCTTGAGAACTAAAAGGAATGGATTCATAAGATTTGGCTGGTAGCTTTTTGGAATAGAGCTAACCAATTTGAGAAGGAAAATGACATTGACCTACTTACAAGATCACAGGGAAAAATATGTCAAGCAACTTCTGAAGAAGAATCAAAAAGCATAGAATCTTATAATAATATTTTGCTGGTAGTTTCAACAGATGGAGCCAACAAAGTTTGCGAGGGAAATATTTTTAGTGCAATATAATATTTAATGAGAATATTTTGCTATGACTGCTTAAATATTCAGGTGAGCGATACAGGCCCTCTTGGGCCTCTTGTTTCTAAATGAATGGAAGAAATGGATGAAATTAGTTGATTTTGCCTAAAACCTGACATGATTTTAGGCCGATACCTTAATTATTCAGTAACAATTCTGTTACTTAACTTTAATTAGTATCTAGCTCTGTTTTGACTTCCTTCCCTGACATGCTTGTTCTGATATCTGTCTTTATCTTTTCTTCTTTCTTTTTTTTGTTTATTTACCAGCTTCTTTTTCTTTCCTTTTATCCTTCTTTCTTCCTTATAGCAATACAGTGTGATATTAAATGAAATAATACCTATCCATATGCAATCTTTACTGATACAAATTTATTTTTGCATAACTTGTATGGTATGAGTGGTGATATGAAAGATGATTGGTGACAAATAGGTTATTATATGATCTGAATGAATTACTGATCCATTGTTATTGTCACTGTTTTGAAAAAAACTCTTTTGAAAATTAAAAAAATATAAAAAATAAATAAATATTGAAGGGTCAACATTTCTGTCAAAAGGACTTAACATTTCAAACCAAAGAGTCATGTTAATTTAAGGGAGTCAGAAATATATACCGTCAAGGGTATGAGGGGACAGCCTTTCATTGCAGTCAATTTAACCACTGGCAGAGACCACTGATTTTTTCTGCAGGCCGGATCATTTTTAGCTCTCCTGGAGGACCATGGTGTAGAGCATCTTTTGGCAAAGGGGGTCCGGACTCAGTTTTGTATAAATACAGAATTGCTTTTAGGGGGCAGGGGGATGGGCCCTATAGGGGGAAATTGAAGTTTAAAGTCCACCCTGATTGATGGGGGACCTACTGAGGGATGGGTGTTGCTGAGAGACGGGGCTAATATTTGGAACAAGGAACAATTCCTCTGGTTCAGTCAGTTATCTTACACAAAAATTGTGATAAATCAGTCCTTCCTAAACACTTATTGATTATTTAAATATCTGAAAAAACAAGTACCCGGTAAGCATATGTTAATGTTTTAAAACTAAAAGGAACTTTTATTGCAAAATAAAAGAATATGAATTTTGAAACAATTATAAAAATGATCTACTACTTGTGTATTTTCAGCACATTTGCAGCCAAATATCTTGATGGTATGAATGAGCAACAGCTGATATTGTATGACCGCCTCATCAACACACCGAGTAATGACTGGGAAATATATTACTGGGCTGTAGGTAAGTAACCTTTTACTCAAACACACCGAGTAATCACTGGGAAATATATTACTGGGCTGTAGGTAAGTAACCTTTTACTAAAGTGCCGATATGTATAATTGAAATAAAGGGAGCATTCAATCTACAGTTCTGAATCGAGATGAGGGGGCTCATGAAGAAAGTGACAGAGTACATAATGGAGTACATATCATTCTAGCGAACCAAGCATCACACATAAACAGTTCACAGGTCGTGCTTTATGACACTGATGAAAATGTCTGGAAACAGTGTTCCTTGAATCCTTTAAGTTTGTTATGTACAACAACAAAATTGTCTGCTGTTGAACATGTTTTTGTATGTAAAAATACATGGGATATTACTTAGCTCTACCAGAGGATTTTAATGCCGTGGTGCAGCGTCCGTCGTCCGTCGTTAACCTTTTATTTAAAACCCATCTCCTCCTAAACGCCAAAGAGGAATTCAACCGAATTAAGTCTGAAGCATCACTAGGGGAGGGCAATCATTTCTTAAATAAATGAGGTTGATTCGACTCCTGGGGCCCGGGGGG